GCTTTAATATATCTGCGGTAGTGAAATTCGAGGTTTGTGTGACAGCGTGCAGTCAATCACCAGTCACTTGTTTCTTTAGTAATTATGTAATTAGTAATTATGTAGCAGGGACAGTCATTGCAGCAACGATATCGTACAGAGTCAACAGCTAGCACATGAGCTGGTTTTGTGTTAATCTTACAGGCTTTATAAAAGTCCCCATATGGCATATGGGTATATGGCCCTCAGCTGTCATATTTAAGACTTAATACATGTGGAACTGCAGCCCCCTAGTTGGTTCTTGAATTGTAACCTACAGGCTTTTTAGAGGCCTGATTGGTGTTTTTTTAGAAGGTTATATTTAATCCAGCCATGCCCCTTTCTCCTTCTAGTTATTTGTTTTAACTGTTCCCACTGGAGCAAATAGTTACAATTGCCAGCAGCTCTAGGCCTTGCTGATTGGCTTGTTTCCTGTTGCTTGTAACCTTAATAGGCTAGTGCTGGATTTGCTGTTTTCACCTACTTCTACTCAATTTTACCTCTTCCCTCCTTCTTCTCTGGTTAATATTCAGCTGGTCTATCCGCTCTGTGCTGTCACAGCCGGCATCCCACAAGGAGCCCTGCCATGCTTGCAGTAAATTAGGCTGTGTATCAGAGGGAAGAGCTTGCCTGCCTTCCCCAACCATCTGCATAACGACAGACCTTCTACGGAGAACACTGCACTATCAGAGACAAAAAAAAAAAAACTGGCTCCTTTTAATAACACAATTCAACATTGGAGAATAAAAGTAGTCACAAGAATAATTCATTTAAAGAGAAAAAACTAAAAATATGACAATACATAGATAATTAGAAGAATACATTATTGAATGCTTGATTTAATTGTAATAAAGAGTGAAAGAGTGAACAACAGAACAAAGAAAAGTAACTGTACTTAACATTACTAACATAATTGTCGGGTAAAAAAATCAGCAACAGAACCACACAGAGGCTAAGGTCAATGGCCATCTATTTTCCTTGTATATTACTTTTAAGTTAATAAACAAATTAATGAATGCATATATTTTATTTATGTCAATCCTCAGAGAGCAGGCATTAAAAAGAGTAAACTATATGTTTTCAATACAAGTAGAAAAAGTGCATATTGTCATTTATTGGCATTACTAAACATATTATTTTACACACTTATAAAAGATTGCTGTTACAGAATTTCATCTAGAACATTAAAATAAGCATATCTGAAGTGCAAACACACTTCATAGTTCATGATGTTCTGGACTGAACGTTCTGTTTCAGGGACCGGGTGATATGTTTTTCAATTTATTACTGTCTTGGTTATTTATACACTGACACTTATTTTCCCTGATGTCTAACAGTGCACAGTTAGGACTATTAAAATCACAGCTATAGAAGACCTTGTACGTGCCAAAGACGTGAAAATATTACACATAATAGTTAACATTTTTCAGGCACAAAGCCCTCATTTCTTTGATGTCTGAGAAACTAATTTACCAAAACGTTTTGTCTACACACATATATATATATATATATATATATATATGTGTTTTGTCTACACATATATATATATACATATATATATATATATATATCCCTTAGCTGCTGCTGTAATCACTCGTGCCTGATGAGCTACCAGGGGCACCCACTTTTTCCAATTTTTATAGATATTAGAGCTGAAATGTTTTTTGATAAGGGTTTGATAATGAAATAAGAATTTCATAGAAATGTATTGCACTTATCATGGTGTTTTCTAGCTGCCTTACTTTACATACAAGAGAAACTGTATGCTTACATCCTTTCAAATAATGCCTTTTCGAATACAACTTTAATACAGGAGTGACCCACCCCTCAAGCTGTAGCCTCATATGTGACAATGGAGTCAAAATTCAAGTCCCTGTGAATTTTGATTTATGTGCAGTCTGTCGTTTTCTTATCATTCTTTGAGACTTGAAGCCTTTCTTACAGCCTCCACTCCCTCTGACCCAGTTGTTTAACAGGCCCAAAATATGAAGCTGCGCTGCCTGCCTCTTCCAAATCCATCAAAGCACACCCAATCCACTTTTCCTTCTCACCTCCTGACTCTCCATACCATATGACTATGCATATGATGAGCAGCAACTTCTCTTCTTGAGTTGAAAGTCCAGTTAAGAAAAAAAAACACCTTTCCTTCTGGAAGTATAAGGTCCAGGATTTGGCTGTGGTAAAACAGAATAATATTATGTATGCGTGTTGATAGTTGTTGTGGGTGGGTTGGCAAATACCTCATGTCACGGACTGAATTTCCCTACATATATAAATAACCTACTGAAGGCGGTGGAGACTGGTGACTCAAAAAGTGAAGTTGAGGATACGGCTGAGTGAAATGCAGGACGGATCTTCGTAATTGTGACAGAAAAATGATAAAAAATCCATTTGCCATCTTTCTCATGGATCGTATTCAGTCTGTGAACCAACCTGATGGAAAGAGGTTTAAGGCTTGATCTATTCTACATAAACCCACAGTCAGACCAAATGGAGCTAGACTGCTTAATCGGGCCGTATTGGTTGTTAGAAGTTGTTTTTTGGTTAGTTTGTTTTGCCTTGCAGTATCTTTTTCTCTGCACATGTGATTTCTTCTTGCCTGTTTGTCTTGTCTTATCTGTCTGTGCCCACCACAGCAAGCTCTTTTTATTTAGGTAGGTTAATGCTCTTGACTGTGCTCTCTATCTTGGCAGTGCAGCCCAGGCCTCATTGGCTGTGCTCATAGATCTTATCTGTTTCAATTGTGGGCTCCTGTTGTCATTCAGGTTCTCTATTATTTTGTTGACCAACATGCTGCACCAGCTTCCTTGAGTCTTTCCAGTTGCAATTTGGTCAGACCCAGACTTCCTGACAGACATTGCTTTCTTGTGATAAAGTGTTCACCAGAAACCCACCCCATGAAGGCTCTTTTATGTAGGTTTAAATGATGCTGGCATTGCGTGGGCTTGCACAGATTGTTTTGGCTGTCAGGGTTATTGTCTGCCAGCTTATGTGGAAATATATTGGCTGTGAATGACGAAAGTAAAGATGAATAACCTGTTACCATTTTCTATTCTTACTCTTCTGCCCACACAACTTTTACTCCCGCTGTGTTCAAGATGAGGGCTTTGTATACCCTGTACAGCTATTGGAAGTATATCCACAAACCGCACTGGAAACTTCTTGGGCTGTATTACCATCCAGCGTTGAAAAGAGATGCAAAGAGTTTCTTTTAGCAGGTGTTTGCATGCCATCAACTTCTGTTCTGGTTACTTAAACTTTCTTAAATATAAAGCTATAAATGCTAGTAATATTGTTTTGTTGATGCAGTGTTTCATTCAGCTTTATGTATGTCTAGAGGCAGCATGGCCTACTCAGCTTTTCACTGTCGTTGTGGACGCTCAGTCACAATAATAAGCCATAGTGCATATGCTCAGCTTTGCCAGCCATTGTAATGGGGCCCTTGAGTCAGGTCCTTGTTAGCTGATGCACAATAAGCTCCAGCCTAATGAAGTGTAAACCAGAGATCTGGGAGGGTGCGAGGGGGCCAGATGAATATGGCCGGAGGCCTCGGTGCGCAGCGGAGAGCTCAATGCTAATGCTATTAGCCAGGAGGTCACTCCATTTCGCTTCACCCCTGCTCAGTTTATCAGCACTTCATAATGTGGTGGATGTAAGGGCATGATGTTGAAACAGCAGATCACACTTGAGTGTGATATCCCTCTGAGAATGAATAGGGT